GTCCAATAGTCACCGATCTCTAAATTATGGCTTCCATTGTTCAGAATACCCGCCCACTTAAAATCCGAGGCATCAGTTGCGAGCCCCAAAGTTTTATGAAATTCGGCCTTCCAACGGAATATACGATTATAATTTTCCAAAAAACGCCAAAATTCAATTTCTTCTTTTAATTCTATTGATATTGGGATATAATCTTTAGAATTTACAGTGAAACTAGTGGCTATAGTGCGAAAGCAGGTACCTACAAACAATTTCGCGCCTGGAATTGCTAATGAGAAGGACAGGCACTTTCCCGCAAAATGGAATTAGAACACATTTGGATATACCAATAAAATAACCTAGCCGAATTACTAACTCACATGACATATATACCGCGATTTCTGCTCTCCTAATATTAGTTTCGTTTTCCATATTTATAGATCCAATCAACCTATCATCAATATATACCAAATTGTTAACTCCAAGAAATCTTAGGTAAGACGCTACTAATTTACTCAAAGTGTGATAGACGTAAGCCGAATTCTTCCAGCCGAATGGAATTGTCTTACAAACATAGTAGATACCTTTCCATTCGAAACCCCAAAAGGGATAGCTGTTTTTTGAAACGAAAACCTGGTCGTATCCCGATTTATCATCAAGTTTAGTCATGAAAGAACCCTGATCAATTATTCTAGGAACATGGTTTAAGCTGTCTAAAGAGAAAGGGGTATCCTTCATCCACAAATTTAAAAACCGCATGTCTAAACATAGTCTTGGTTTGGTTGGTTCCTACAGTAAATGGTGACACAATGTAAGGGGAGTGACCTTCGCCAACAGAACCCCAAATAGAAATTGCAGCGGTTTTTAGCCTGTTAGCAACCTCGTTATCAATAAATTCAGTAAAAGAGTAACAGTTAGAAGAATTCTTTAAAATTTTAGCTGGTGGATAATTACAATCATAAACAATGTTCTTAAATGTTCCTTTAAAAGGAACAATGAAATTATCTACTCGAACCCCATTTACTAACCAATCAGGAGCTAAATCGGATTGACTGGACTTTGGTAAAGCGTTCAAAATACTTCTCCATTCGTCAACATGACTGTGTAATCTATGGAAGTATAATGTTGCCAATATGTTTCATTGTTCACGGTGCAAACTGCAAATGTCAGTAGTTCAAAAAACGTTCTTTAGTTTTACAATTTACAATTTCCATTGCTCAACAATACCAATGCCACGGTGTTAAAATACAGAATACACTTCTCAATAATACAAAATGCAGTAGAATAGTTATTTTGCACATTACACTTCTGCATTCTGCATTTTGCATAATAGAACCTTGCATAGTAGAACATATACCTTATATGTGATCTACGATGAACGTCATTTGCATACGGAAAAAAATAAAATCCGGACTATGACGGAAATTAATGATTACGCGATAAAGCCATAAGGTCACCTGGATACGAAATGAAGTTAGCACACATATTCCTAGCGCCAATAAAAACCTAGATATAATTATCACGAAAATAATTGTTACCTTTATATTAGAAAACGACATATTAATGCAAAGTATATATGTAATAGACCCCCCCCCCCCCCCATGAAAAAAATAAATACTGTTACCGTAAACATACAAAAATATCGCACACTAGGCTAACTAAGCAGGGGGGTTGGATGGCTGAATGGTTAGCGTGCGCGCTCTGTATCAATCATAAAGTCAGTCATTGAGTCGACCGGCGTGGTTTCGAATCCCCGGTTGTACGTGACAATTAGTAGGGTCGCCTGTCCAACCTCGTGGGTTTTCTCCGGTTTCCTCCCACTGCTAAAGACCCCTATGCGCAAGCGAATTATTGAAATAAAAAATTAAACCATATGTTAGTCCCGAAATGACCTAGTTTGTCTCTCGCTAACTGAGCACGCAGAAAAGGGGTACGTCCACGCTTCATCAAAACGCACCGAAAGCAGCTTTGGTGGCAAAATGTTTTTTTGTTTCATGGAATCAAGGGATGAATAAACTACTAGAATACAAATTTACAGAAGCTTCCTAAGCTGTCTTTTGGAGAAATATCACCGTAAACATACTAAAACCATGGGAGGCTCGGGTAAGGGTAGGCTCATCGCGCACGCAATAACTTATAAAATAGCGTTGGTGGCTCCAAGATCTTTATTTCACCAAATCAACAGATGGATAAGATATGAACAGGCCAATTCTCATTTACTTTCTATGTTGGCGTATCGAGTTATACCACCGCAAAGTTCCCAGCACCTTGATTCGAGGCAGGGTTCGCGGGTGCAATAAACAAGGGATACGTCCACACCACACCAAAAAGCACTCCAAACTGGCTTTGGTGGCAAAATGTTTTGTATTTCACAGAGTCAAGGGATGAATAACTACTAGAATACAAAAATCCAGAAGCCTCCTATGCTGGCTTTTAGAGATATATTACCGTAAACGTACTAAATATGTGGGGAATCGAGTTAGGGTAGGCTCACTGCTGTAATACAATATCATTTGGGATCTAAATTTCAATATTGTATTCTTAATTCATATTTTATTTGTAACTCAATTTTAGACATATATTAAGTGACAGATTAATTGTAAGAAATAATCTTTATCAGGTGTAGGTTGTTGAAATAATATTATGTACGATTTAATGGATTGTACAAACATGTATACTCGGAGTGTCTATATGGTATAAGATTCAGGCTTAACACGTATTGACACCTTTTGTCTTGAGCTAAGATGTGTGAATCTTAATAATTACTTTTCATTGTTCTGATTACGAATGGTATTAACTATGGCGTGCCTTAACCGATATAAAAAGCCTAGTTTACAAGCAGGCAGGAAAGGGTACAAAGGAGGGACAAGAGAGGCCCGTAGAGGCTGAGAGGTCTCCCGGACCTCGGGAGAGGGTCTGCCCTCGACACCGGGCAGAGGGGTCGCAGCTATAGCTAGACGTAACTTCACCCAACCAAATGATGTTATTATGTACCTGTAAATATGTTGTCCAGTATTAAAATATCTTTTTAATAAATAAGAGTTATGTATTCCATCACACTGCGCACACAATAACTTCTAAGCTAGCTTTGGTGACTCCAAGATCTTTATTTCAGCAAATGTTCTTAGGGGGGGGGGGGGGAGGCTATTACATATTATTATATACTTTGCATTAATATGTCTTAAAATGTTATTTTCTAATATAAAGGTAACAATTATTTTCGTGATAATCATATCTAGGTTTTTATTGGCGCTAGGAATATGTGTGCTAAGTTCATTTCGAATCCGGGTGCTGGTGAGAGATTCCGGGTGAGAGATTCCGCTCGGTTACTATAAGATTCTTTAACCTTACCCTAAAAAAGGGTTAAGATATTCAATTTAATTTTTAACAAGAAATTGATTCACTTGAAATATCTGTTTTTTTTACCGATGAGAACAAATAAGAATAGTCTCGTTAAACCAGACTATTCAATCTGTTTCACAGAGAATTACGAGTAGTAATATCTCTGTCAAAGATGACTACCTTAACACGTGCCGTCACAGCACGAGGGGTCAATCATTGGCCGAATGGCGCGGGCATTGTTTACATAAGACGTTACTGCTTCGGGCGGAATGCTGCCTTTTAGTCATTTTAATACCCATTTACACTAAATAGGAAATAATTTTTACCTACAAATACGTCAAACGCCTTTATTTATATTTCCAATACATAAAAAAAATGTTTTAGAATATAATTTGTCGCAGGAAAAAAGTTAATATTTCTGGCTCATTAAGTCACATCGATGTCATCCTTATCAGTGATTGTAACGGCCTAGCGAAAATTCACTGCTGATCAGTGTGCAGACTATTATCTTTCAGAATCCTCTAATCGTCGAACTGATTACATTATGGAGCCTGGACGTTGAAGACTAAATCATTAATTTCCATCATAGTCCGGATTTTTTTTTTTTTTCCGTATGCAAATGACGTACTTCGTAGATCCCATATAAGGTATATGTTCTACTATGTAAGGTTCTATTATGCATTTGTCTATTATGCAAAATGCAGAATGCAGAAGTGTAATGTGCAAAATAACTATTATACTGTCTTTTGTATTATTGAAAAGTGTATGCTGTATTTAACACCGTGACATTGGTAGTGTTGAGCAATGGAAATTGTAAATTGTAAAACTAAAATACGTATTTTGAACTACTGACATTTGCAGTTTGCACCGTGAACAATGAAATAATATTGGCAACGTTATCCTTCCATAGTAATCCACCCGCATTAAATGCGTTTGGGTCCCTAAAGACAACATGATTGATCTCGACCGGATTAGTAAAAGCTGATTCGGCAGGAACCATAGGATGCCATTCACAGGACACGCCTTCAAATTCACCCACTTATGACATTCATATGGTATCTACAAAACAAAACGTACAACAAAAACTTGCAATTAAGTTGAAGAAAATTTGGTACATTTTGAAGCCACATGACCCACTTCCCCACATCTAAAACAAACAATTTTATACTGTCTCGGTGGTGGATACCGAGGGCGTGATTGGTTCTGATAATTTGACCTATTAGTATTGCTTCTTTCTCCCCAAGATTTTAAAAACTTATGCTCCTTCTCTAGTAGTTTATATTCACTGGAAGATGATAACATCAAAACAGCGAGTGATCCTACATTATGGAGTGTCTTATTAGCCATAAATCTCTGCAAAACAAACGAATATTCTTCAGACTTGGTATGACTTGCCTTCCTCGCCTTCTCGTCTAGCAGAATAAGTTTCTGATGCAAAATATCAATATTGATTTCAGAGGTTCTAGACGCGTACTCTTTAACCTCCTTTACCATGGTTTCCACAGATTCCTGTTCTTGTTGTTTCTGTTGAGCTTCGATATCAAATCATTCTACAAAAAAGCAATTTTGAACATAACGTGATAAAGAAAACCCCAGCATCAAAAAGGTTCAAGGGCTTTCCAAGACATCAGAGTATAAGCAACATTGGCAATCTCTGCGCAGTTTGTTTCACTCTGCACTGTAAGCCTTTTCTGTAATTTTTACAGACTTGTTTCTGTAAAACGCCTACAGCGCAGGTCTGTTATCCTGATAACAGACACGAGTCTGTTAATATTTAAGAAATACAGAATTTCGTCCGTAAATATGACATACGGGTGTTTAAATTAAAGTGACGTCATCGGTCTTCCTGGGCGCCATTACTGCGAAGACCGTTAGTTAGCGGCAAAGAGGAATCCCTCAACATCGAGCACAATAGTTGAACACTACAGTCAATACCAAACATTGCAGTTTTAGGTAAGTATACAGTAGGGACACATCTTTGTTTGACATAGATTGATTCTTAGCATTCGTAAAAATGTACGGTAACTGATTTATGAAATAGTAGGAATAGACTCTTCTACTTCTACTTCTAGACAAATGGACATACATGATACTCACATACACTGTCACAGTGTTAGTGTTAGCACAGAGTAAAAATACACTCTGGTGTTAGTGCTAGGCCTAATATTTTTTCGCATTGTTTTTGGAGGCTTCAGTTCTAGTTGAGGCTACTCGGATGACATAATAATAACATTGATATAGAAAAAAAATATATGAACTATGAAGGGCTAACATTTCTGGGCTTCATTAAGTTCATAGTCTCAGGTTTGTAGGCTAGGCCTACCACTGAAAACCATTATTAAGAATTTATTGAATTGTCAATGCATTGTCTGGATAATGATCTTTAATTTTTTATTTTACTAATTTTTTTAGGCACAGCTTATTGCATCCTTGAGTGCCATCCCTGTCATCTATAGAGTGGGCTACCCAGCCTTTCTCTGGGTTAGTGAAATTTTTTCAAAGGTAGGCCCTACTGCACAGGTGAATCCTATTTTAGTCTGCTTTTAGATTTACCTGTCATAGGTGCAGAGTGGCCACTGGTTAGTCCAAAAATCTGATCAGAAACCCAAGATGCGGTAACGATAGAAGAAAGCATGGGTTTTAACCCGGAAAGCAATGGGTGTTACGTTAGTTACAGCTACTACCAATATGAATTATGATCAGAAAAGTTCAACCTAACTTAAAGGAGCTAAATCTGTATTCTTTGGCCCCGAGAAATGAACACAATGGGTCGCAACGATAATAATCTATTATGAATGTCTATAAACTGATTTACATTCAGTCGTTTCTGTTTTTAGTGTAATTTGTAATCAGTTATGCTCGGCGAAATATGTCCAAATTGAATGGCAGTCTGGTTATTCCAGTATACACTGATAGTATGTGTGATATGTTTAGTCTCCTGGGGGGGTTGGATGGCTGAATGGTTAGCACGTGCGCGCTGTACCATAAAGTCTGTCATTGAGTCAACTGGCGTGGTTTCGAATCCCCGGCTGTACGTGGCAAGGAGTAGGGTCGCCTGTCCAACCTCGTGGGTTTTTCTCCGGGTCCTCCGGTTTCCTCCCACTGCTAAAGACCCCTACGCGCAAGCGAATTATTGAAATAAAATTAAAACCATATGTTAGTCCTGAAATGACCTAGTTTGTGTCGAGTGGACGTTAAACCCCATTTCTCTCTCTCTCTCTTTAGTCTCCTGTTTGTGGACATGAAACTTCATTTTCTCGCACATTTAGCTCCCTTTTCCTTAATTAAAATGTGTTCTTTTGAAATGGATGTCATAAGAAACAACCTGATTGAGAATATTTGTTTTGCAGGTGCATTTTTGAAATTAACCCAGATAACGCACAGAAATCATGAAAAAGAGGAAGACTCGAGTGTGCCAAAAAGTATATAACTAATCACTAAACTGTCAAACTTTAAATGGATGAAGTACAGTTACAACAATAGCAACAATATACCGGTACTGTGAGAAGGTATACGACGGTATAGATGCCACATTTTGGTTCAAGGTGCTTTAAATTCTGGGCCACGGTTTGGTTAACATGGTACAGATATTTTAACTGTCCATTTTCATCCGATGCAGAATACTCCCCTGTAGTTCATGTGACAAGAAGGAGAAAAGATGGCTTTCGGCAATGAAACATGTGTCCCGCTGAAAGTACATTCCCCTCCGGCGAACCACAAATCACGGATATAGGAACATTTTGAATCAAAAACGTCAGATGGAAAAGCAGTGGCTAGGGAGCTGGAAACACGTCCAAGAAGAAATACTGTGATATGTATCGTTGCAACCTATGATGCAATAATGTTCATGCATGCAAACTTTAGGGATAGGCCTATTGAGTTTATGGTTAGTTTTTATACACCAGCACATAGTGTGTATAAAATAGGTGATAAGGGACCGAGCCACAACCCTTTTATGAGTGATACTTTGTAAATGAGACTTTAAACGCACTGCAAGAAATCTTTTTAATGAATCTTCTTAATTAAACTTGATCTTCTTATTGTACTTTTGATAAGATGTCCGTTTACTTTAATGGAAAAATCTTTTGGTCATTTAATTTGTCCATCAACAATTTGGTACATTTGTAAAATTATCCTCAGTTCATTTTGTCTCTAAATATGCGGCCGTGTTGCATAAACATTAAAATTGTGTAACTCTCATCTACACATTTCATTTTGGGACTGGTTCATTAACTTTGTCAGTAGTCCAGTTCCATCTAAATTTTTATCTATGAGACTGAATCAATTTATGCCATTCTCACTAAGGAATGTACATGCTTAGGCAGAGTTATTGTGCAAAATTTAATGATATACATTTTCAAACAGAGATTAAGCTAATCATTGAAACAAGCTGTACATTTAAGGTGGAATAATAGGAATTCTGCATTGATGCTGTTCTTGTTTTAAAGTCATGATACTTTTGGGGTTCAATAATTGTTAGATTTTAAATTGTTCATTTAAACATTTAGAATGCAAATTCATTTATTCCAAAAATTTGAATGATTTCATTATTTCATGTTTTACTGTTATAATTTACTTTCATGTTGTTGATGTTTTAAATAATAGATTTGAGGTAAATATTACAACACCTTGGTTAAGATTTTAGAAAAAGATTTGAGGATAATTCTATTGTAACACACTGATTATATATTTGTAGAATAGATTCAGAATGTTGTTGTTCTACTATAAAAAAATTCATTTGAATATTATAATGTAAATGTTACATGTACAAGAATATGAATGGATAATTTCATTATTGTTAAATTTATATTTTGTTGCTACCCATTATTTGATACATCCATGGAAATTTTCACATACATTTTTTAATTGCTGGGAATTTTTGTTTGCTTGTCTTGTGAGAACTTGATAAATATTTTGGAGAGTTATTTCCCTTGTTAATAGGGCAACAAATTCTCTTTTTTGTCCCCCGCCTTTCGAAGAAAGCAGGGGACTATTAAAATGGGTTCGTCCGTCTGTCTGTCTGTCTGTCTGTCTGTCCGTCCCACTTTTTGGGACACAATAACTCTCTTCCTAATTGAGCTAGAATGTTCAAACTTGGTGTATGTGTTTATTAGGTCAATGCCTTGATGGAGTTCGAAGATGAGCATTTTCCGCTTAGGGTAAGCAGAGATAAGCAATTTGATTGGTTGATGCTTTGGGACACGATAACTCTCTTCCTAATTGGGCTAGAATGTTCAAACTTGGTGTATGTGTTGATTAGGTCAATGCCTTGATGGAGTTCGAAGATGAGCATTTTCCGCTTAGGGTAAGCAGAGATAAGCAATTTGATTGGTTGATGCTTTGGGACACGATAACTTTTAATTGAGCTAGAATGTTCAAACTTGGTGTATGTGTTTATTAGGTCAATGCCTTGATGGAGTTCGAAGATGAGCATTTTCCGCTTAGGGTAAGCAGAGATAAGCAATTTGATTGGTTGATACTTTGGGGCACGATAACTCTCTTCCTAATTGAGCTAGAATGTTCAAACTTGGTGTATGTGTTGATTAGGTCAATGCCTTGATGGAGTTCGAAGATGAGCATTTTCCGCTTAGGGTAAGCAGAGATAAGCAATTTTATTGGTTGATGCTTTGGGACACGATAACTTTAGTTCTAATTAAGTGAGATTGATGAAACTTGGTGTATAGATTTATTATATGAATACCTTAACTAAGTTCGATAATGAACATTTTTTGCTGAGGGTAAGCAGAGTGATAAGCAATTTGATTGGTAGAAACTTTGGAACACAATAACTCTCCTTCTAATTGAGGTAGAATGTTCAAACTTGGCATAGGTGTCTATTAGGTGAATGTTTAAACTTGATGTATATGTAGATGTTCATTAGGTGAATGTCTTGACTGAGTTCAATAATTAACATTTCGAGCTGAAGCTAAGCAGAGCTAATCGATTTCATTTGTCGATGGTTTGGGACAACATAATCTTGATTCTATCTGATAGAGAGTGATGAAACTTAGTGAAAAAAATAAATGTGCGATTAATTAATATGTGTCATCTATTTATTTTGCAATTTCGGCGGGGGACATCAGCCTCACTGTTGGCTTGTTTTTTTTAAAGTCGTCACTATTCCATGTACAAATGTTCATTATTATTAATGAAGAATTATTAAAGGAGCTTTGTTTTTGTTGAAATATACCACCAAACTGCTTGACAGCCAAAGAATATGTTAGCTCTCTAAACATTCTCCATATTGTAATATCAAATCTGCTCTTGATCCAATGTGTTAAAAATATGAATTTGTGGTTGACAGGTTTTTTTTTTTTAAGGCAGTTGTTAGCTTTACTTACTGACAGTAATCTCCAATTTCCAGTATTTTCAGGTCTTTTATTATATCTTAAACTATCATGTAAAAGCATTTTTGAGGAATTAATTGTATCTTATATTGTTTTGAATAATTAAATTCTGTTTTAAATCTTAAGTAAATGTCTTTTTGATGCTTATCATACCATAAGTTTTTTACAGCTGTAAAACATTTTCCGTAAAATTTACGAACAAATGGCTGGCAGCTAGGTTGCCAATCTTTGGACGTAATTTTTACGACATGTTCGTAAAAATATATTTACGGTGTGTCGTAATTTTTACGTACATTGGTTGGCAACCTAGCTGCCAGCCATTTGTCCGTAAATTTACGGAAAAAGTTTTACAGTGTGATGTGCATCTTCAGCTAAAAGGGGTACCGACGACGATTGACGCAAAACTGATTGAGGTACAACATATTGCCCCAACATGTCGAATGATTTCCAACCCACGTGATCCAAAACATCCCTATCACATACGCCCTTAGCTCTTAAGTTAATAGCGCATCCACTCCGAATGCTGTGCGGCGTTTCACCCGCCCATAAACCTATGGCTGATAAACCTCGTTTTAGTCGATTGTTCATGCAGGACGATGTGGCTGGTACATTCTTTGTCAACGTCTCCCCTAACCCAGTGGGTCTGAAAAGGTAGCCATCATGCAAATCAACACCCAGCTTGGCAGATTGTTCCAAATAACACTCAAGTTCCTTAACCGGACAAAATTCCCTAGAGCTTAAACACGGAATGACAAGTCTTCTTGGGGTATGAGTTATTGCTTTTCCTTCGGACATGTGCACAACAAAGATCATATGTAACGGCCCGACACATCCTGACAATCTTTCACAAAAACAAAGGAGGTGCTTTCCTTTTACACAAAAGAGATTTTGCCTGTTCCACACGCACGGCAACCAAATGACCTTTTATCGAGAGAGATGCCATCGGGTTTCAAAACCTAAACGAATGTTCCAATCTGTACCTCTTCCATGATCGCGAAAAATAGCACGCAGGTGACCAACTAAAGAGTCTACGGACAGTTGCACACAACCGACCTACTTTTCTGACTTTCTGGACAATCATCTTTATGGACCTTGGTCTTTCCATTCCTGTCCTTAAAAACAAGAAACTGCCGTATGGCAAAAGGGGCGACTTCATCTAATGTCCTAGCAGGTTTTAACGAAGCTAGGAAGTCAATAAGTTCATTTTTCAGCTTTTGTTTTTGTTTAGAATATTTTGAAGTTTGTAAGTAGCTATCTAATTCTCTTATTCGATTATTTACCTCATCGACATTAATCTTTAACTAAAAAAAAATAATAACTCCAAATGAACTTCAATACAATATACAGACTTTCGATAAAACTCTGAGAACTCGTAAAAACATTATAAAAACGCGTGGGAAGCACGTACCAACCACCGTTCTAGTAATATGCAGTTCCCGGATGGGGGGGGGGGTCTACAAAAACAACTTGAGATATATAAAACATCAGATGTTCCACAAATTGGTTAAGTATGCTGTACCTTGATATACTAGTATACTACTCGAATAAAACAGATACAAGCTAAGCTTTGAGTGTAACACCATATTGCTCCACTAAAACAATGAATAAATTTAGTCATAAAAGTTTAGAAGACTCTTAACATACATTTGAAAAATATGCCAATTATACGTCGATTCTGACAATTTTGCTAACAAACTTACGATAGGAAAATATATTTGTGCCTAAAATGCCAAATAGTCAAACACATAACACTTTTGGACAAATTTTCGATTACAAAATACCCTGTGGAATAAAATGCCAAATTATAGGCCAACTGTGGAACAAATATACTTAAAAATTAATGAATTAATGACAGGTAACCTGTGCGAAACCGTACAGATAAAAATTAAATGTCCCTTACGAGCTGTAACTGTCAACTGCTTTTCGAAAATATTGCCAATTACAATTAGGATTAAGAACCAAACCGTGTTACTTACATGCTGATTAACTGACACCGACAAAACTCTTGAGACCTGTAATATGCCAGTAACAGGTTGACACTGTCCATACCTTTGATATGTAAATGCGTCACACGTGTAGCCGTAGGCCTAGCCAAGTGAAGTAGGCCTAGATGTTTTTCGATCCAAATTTCGTCGATATGGTATAAAGTTATGCGGTATGTTACTGTATTGGCAAAGTGTCGGATTCGACATATCGGTACGGTACTATATTATTATGGTAATTGGTATTGTCAGTTTCATTCAATATAGGATTATATGACATTGGATCGTTAATGTTCGCTAATGCTTGTGTTTTACAGAAACATTTTGACGACACCCAAAAGGAGTTGGGACGACTAGATGGAACCAAGCCACTAAAATATAACGCAGTTCCTAATGTTTTCGACCATAGTGTGCCTATAAAAGTACGACCGCGAATTCGAAAAACATCGAACACACCCACACTTCCCACTCCGATCAATCGTACGCTAGTACACGAAGGGAACAGAGAAGCGACAACTTGGATGAAAATGAAAAAATACTGTTCGCAGCTGAAGAAGGTTAGTAGGACTGAAACGTTTATATTTTGATTAAATAAAACCAGAGCAAGGAACAGTGTCTAGTTGTTCGAATGTTACGATAAACCGAGTTACCATGTACACATGAAGACGTGCAGGTAACAGAACCCTTTACATATGGAATTTGAAATAAGAGTACTCGGTAGGCCGTAGCGCCGCTGGCCGTGCAAAATTTCCCTCATAGCACACTGCATGGCGTATGCCCATCTTCATTAGTCCAGTTGTTGCAGAAAAGTAGGACGTTATTTTAAACCCCATTTCATTTCATTTCATTTCATTTCTCATGCCTATTCTTCTCGTTTGGGCTGTGACGAAAACCCGTGACATGCATAAACCTTGAACTAGGCTCGATATTACCCAACATTTATTATTACGGTATATATTGATTTAAATTTGTTTTATTTATTTTTGTTAATTTTCTGTTTTCAGAAGCACTTTTCTCTCAAGTACCCGAAGCCGAAACCGACCTGAAAGACAAACCACAAAATACGACTGCAAACAAATCTCCAAAGAAAAGAACGTCACGTAAAGAAACTCTTACACAGAAACTTCTCCGACAGAACAGTGTTTTACGGGACAAATTACGCGAATCTCTTCGTGAAAAGCGAA